GATGATTCCGTTTGCCGTGGTGGGCAGTGACCACGAGTACCAGGTCAATGGGAAGAGGATTCTGGGCAGGAAGACCAAGTGGGGCACCATCGAAGGTACTGGCTGCAGGGTGGGCTTGGCGATGGCACAGGTGACCACCCACAGGGTGGTGCCCACTGCCTGGCCACCCACCCTCCAACAAACTCAACTCACGGCCATGGAGTCGATGCCAATTCATAGTGACCCTATAGCGCAGCGGAGAACTGCCCCTGTGGGTTTCCCAGACTGCAACCTTTATGGGAGTAGACAGTCCCCTCTTTCTCCCTCAGAGCGGTTGGTAGTTTTGAACTGCGGACTTTGAGGATGGCAGCCCAATGTGTAACCACTCCACCACCAGAGATTCTAGGCCAGCCGCCCATTAATTAATTAAATCTATATAATATGTAAATATATAATATATTAATTAGATATGCAAGGTATTTCTAATTAATATATTATTATGTATTGCACAACCCCACTCCTGTGCAAGTGTCTAGACATGCGGATCAGACCCGCTGGTTACAGTCTCTCATTGTACCCACCTGCTCAATGGTTACCTTCAAGTGATCTCCCGCCCACTGATGTCAACTCCCTCCCCTGTGCTTTAGAGTAACCTAGCCCCAGGTCTCGGATGGATCCGTGTTTAAAACAGTGCTATATTCAGCAAGCCCTGGTGGCACTGAGGAATGAGTGGTGGGCTGCTCACAGCAAAGTCGGCGTCCGAACCCCCAGCCACTCCTGTGGGGAAAGAGTCAGTCTCAGAAGCCCAACACAGGGTTGCTGGGGGTCAGAATGATCCCGTGGCAGTGGGTTTGGGTGGGTTTCACACCCCTGAGCTACAATCTGTGTGTGTTTTAATGGGCAAAGGATTCATTAGACTCAAAGGAGAAGTGTATAATCACCAGGGACCAGTGGGCCCCTTAACAAGATGCTCAATATCATACCTTAGACCGGCCCTTAGATTGTGACTCATAGGGATCCTATCAACCGAAGTCAAAATCACAATGAGATGCCTTATCACACCCACGAGGGTGGCCATCGGGAAAAACCAAGAGACACCCAGTAACACGTGTTGGCAACTTGAGGAAAAGTTAGAATCCCCACGGAGCACTGCTGGGCTTGTAAATGAAGCAGTGACCTTTAAAACAGTTTGGCATCTCTCCCCGCAAAAATTAGACATGAGCTGCCGTGTGATCTAGCCACTCCACGGCTAGATGGAGCCCCAGAGAAATGAGCACATATGTTCGTACCAACACTTCACCTCCCATGGTGTGGTTTACGGTTTTGCCCCTCCCTGTTCTGTTCCGTGTCACCTTTTAGGGACGCCTTTTAGAGTTCACCAACTCTTCTCTCCAGTTCACCTGTGGAATAGTCGTCTGTTAAACAGATTTATCTGCTGCGTAACTTCCCCATTGATTTTCCAGATTCATTCTTAAATGTTTCCCTTTTTCAAACCTCCCTCACCTTTTTTTGAGCGCACGATCCCGTTCTTGTGCTTCCCGCTTCTTGTTTTTCTTTGAGCGTTTTTAAGAAATGCTTACTTTTACTCGGTACCTTCTATCAGTCCGTCACCAGGAGATGAACGAGGCTGGGGCTCCTGGGGGCTGGGTCTGCGGACTTCGCTTGTGGAAGCTTCTCTCTTTGATTTATTGATACCTGAGCGTCGTTCTTGCACCCCAGGTGCAGGTGTCACCCCCGGGAGGCTTTGCGGCAAGGCTTCTTCAAGGATCCGCCTTTTCCAGTTGGGTCCTCCTGTCTGATCTGTGGTTTCTCAGGCTGGGGTGCGTGGCACAAGCGTTACCTTCACGCACACCTGAGACGTAGGGTTACAAATTCTCAGGGAACCTTTGATGTTGGGGTCCAGGCCCAGGCCCCACATTTGTCCAGACACATCTTCCTGCCCACTTCTTTCGCTGAGAACCCGACTGCTCCAAATGCCCCATCCTTGGCAAGCTTCCCTTTGTTGGGGTGAGCTGTTACTGGTTTGAAGGTAACTGCCGGGGTCAGTTTGCATCGGGGTTGGAGGAGTGACTGGGGCAATAGTGCCCTTCCTGTTCTCGGGGCAGGTCTGCTCGGTCCCCTCCCCAGCTCTGGTGGTGACTGCCAGTCAGCCTTGGCTTGTGGCCCTATCCCTCCAGACTGTCTCCAACTCCCTATGGCTCTCCCCTTCCACTCTTCCCCCTCTTAGAAGGACGCCTGTCATGGATTTAAGGAGCCTGGTGGCACCCTGGTTAAGCGCTCAGCTGCTAGCAGACAGGTTGGTGGTTCAGACCCACCCAGCCGCTCCCTGGAGGAAAGCCCTGATAATCCACATCTATACAGATTGGAGCCTTGAACACCCAACAGGATGGTTCTGCTCTGAGGCACAGGGTCGCAAGGACCCTCAAGTCTGCTGGGCGTCATTGGGTTTGGGGCCCGGGATGGTCTGATCTAGAAACACGTCGTGGCTTCTGAGGAGACCCTTTACCCAGACAAGGCTCTGTGCATAGGCCTGGAGCAGGGCTCAAACATGGAAGTCCAGCCCTCTACAAGTTGGGGTGGTGAGTCCGTCTTCTCCCCTCTCTGTCCCTTCCCCATCTTTTGCATAAACAGCCACTGAGTGAACCCGACTGGGTTCCCACACACAATGAGCCTCTGGGACCGAGGGGAAGCATCCCATTGGTTTCCTCGGCTGCTGCAGCAGCTGACTCCCCAGGAATGGTTGGTGGGTTCAAACCATCGACCTTGTGGTTGGGAGCAGAGTACTTTAAACAACCCTGGCTACTCACCATAAGGTTAGCAGTTCAAAACCAGTAGTCGCTCCTTGGAATTGCAGTTCTCGGAAACCCCCAGGGGTAGTTCTACCCTGTGCGTCGGGGCGTTCTGAGTCAGCATGGCCTGGAGGCAGTGCGTCGTGAGCACACGGGGTTTCTGAGACTGCGTCTTGACCACAGTCAGCCTCGTCTTTCTGCTGGGGTTCGGCTGGTGGGTTTGAACCATTGGCCTTGTGGTTAGCAGCCCAATGCTTACCCCAGGACACCACCTGCGGTCCTTCTGTTTACCACTTGACTCACTGCCACCACTCAAAGCCACCCTCTGGGACCAAGAAGGACCACTCCTGGGGGCTTCAAAGACTGTCTACAGACCCAGCCGGCAGCCTATCTTTCTCCCAGGAGTGCATGTGGTTTTAAACTACCGGCTTTGCAATTAGCAGTCCGACGCGTAACCACTACTTAACCCACAGGTGCTTCTTCCCCTGATCACCTAAACCAAACTCGCCACTGACGATGCCGACTCCAGGGTGGAACTGCCCCATGGGTTTCTGAGACTGTCACTCTTTACCGAGTACAAAGCCTCATCTTTCTTCCAAGGAGTGGCTGTGGGTTTCAGACTGCTGACCTTGTGGTGAGCAGCCCGGTGCTTACCCCATTGCGCCACCAGGGTTCCATTTCTTTTTCCCAGAGGAGGGAAAACAAGGACACCGAAGGGGCCACTCCTTCCTAGGACGTGTGGCACAGTGGCCCTTAAGGAGGAAGCAGGAGGTGGTGACCAGGCTGAGTTTGGGGCAGAGCATACCTGCGAGGCCACTGGGGCCTGGGAGTGAGAAACTAGCTATAGAACAGAGGTACCTGCTGTCCGCACCCTCACGGAAAGGCAGGTGCCCTGCCCTGGGCCCAGGCTACCCAAGGGCAGATCTAGAATAAGGTGACCAGAGTCCCGCTTTTGGCAGGACAGTCCCAATTTTTAACAATTTTTCCCACGTCCCATGGCGTTTCTAAAAAGTACCTATTTTTGGAAAGAATGCACAACAAGCTAGGGTATACGGTTCTTGGCTGCCATGTGGCTATTTCGCCAGGATATGAGTTTTATCAATGGTGTCCCACTTTACCTGTGTTAAAATCTGGTCACCTTACTCTAGAATGAATACATGCTCCATGCAGCCCTTTCCTGCCAGCCTCACATCGCCATCTGCTGCCCCAGCCCCGTCATGCAACCAGGGAAGAAGTGTTTGTACCCCATCTGCTTTTCTGCCTGTCCCCCACCGCCCTCCCTCTAGGCAGGGGTCTTGACCCCAAAAGTCTCTTTGGGGGATGTTAGCCTCTCTGCCCAATATCAGAGACCTCTGTCAGCCTCTGCCTTGGGCTCATCCCTGGTCCACATAGTCCACGTGGCTCAGCTGCTAACCAAAGGGTTGGCCGGTGAAGTTCACCTAGCAGCGTCGCAGAAGAAAGTCCCGGAGGTCATTTTCCAGCAGGCCACAGCCTGCTGTGCACTCCTGGGGGTCTGTGTATCAGCAGACTCTACAGCAAGGGGGCATGGAGGGGGGTTAGTTTCCCTTCTGTCATTTTCTCTCTTCCCTTTTCCCCAAAGAACTCTTCTGTCCTGAGCCTTCTAGAAAGCAGCCCTGGTGGTGTCGTGGTTACGCCTTGGGCTGCTAACTGCAAGGTCCGCAGTTCGAAACCACCAGCTGCCCCACAGGAGAAAGACAGGGCTTTCTACTCCTACAGTCTCGGAAACCCACAGGGGCAGCCCTACCCTGGCCTGCCTATAGGGCAGCCATGAGTCCTTGTCAACTCGATGGGAGTGAGTTGGGGGGTTCGTTTGCTTGGGATGCTTACAACACATTTGGGGTACCAACTGGGCAGCGGGGAGCTTGCAGGGGAGGAGGGCCCTTGATGGGCATGTCTCTGCTGTCCCCTGGGGGCCGCTTGCTGCAGGCTGCCAGTAAGAAGGGGCATTGCAGGGAAATGAGGATCCTTCTAAATGGGATCCTCCTCAGTGGGTGGAGAGGGGTCCTCTGGGGGGCAGGGGTTGGGTCCTCATGAATGCACACTATTCCTCACCTCCTTCCTCAGTGGAGAACACCACGCACTGCGAGTTTGCCTACCTGCGAGACCTCCTCATCAGGTGAGATGCAGCGTGGGGAGGGGAGGGGGACTCAGGGGACCTCAGCCAGGGCTTGGGCAGTAGGCGTTTCCGAGAGCGCCCTCTGGGGACTGGAGGGAGGAGGAGCAGTGCTTGAACCCCGTGAGGTCCCCTGGAGGGGCAGCCGGGGTGTGTGGTCCGGCCGGCTGTGCAGCCAAGGGTGCTCAGACCCTGCCCTGACCGCCTGGCTGGGGTCTCCTGGTGTCCCTGAGCCGGGACAGGTAGAGCCACCCCGCCGCTCCAGGGAGCCTGGTGGGCGTCCTGGGAGCATGCTGTTCGTATGCATGCGCAAATGGATAGCTAAGGGGGGTGGCCCTGCGGGGGCACAGAGAACTCCAGCTTCTCCAATGGGTGCGGGGCTCTGGAGGACGCCAAGAGCCAGAGAATCCGGGGTGAGGGGGGTGGGGCTCCCGGAAGCTGCCTGGCTTGGGGAGAAGCCCCGCCCCGTCTTCCAGCCACCTTCCAAAGGCCAGCACCCTGCCCAGGCCTGGCCCCTTCCAAATGGGAGCAGGGGCAGTCTGGCCTGAACATCTGTGAGGTTGGGTGCTGGCCCCCACCCCCATCCCCACACACACACGCCTGTCCGGTAGCAGCGGCTGGTTCCCTGCCGCCCTGGGAGGGCCCGGGCATGCGCAGGGGTGCCCCGGTGACCACCCCGCCCCTCATCAGGACGCACATGCAGAACATCAAGGACATCACCAGCAGCATCCACTTCGAAGCGTACCGGGTGAAGCGCCTCCACGAGGGCAGCAGCCTCCTGTCCAACGGCGTCGAGGACAAGGACCCAGATGCACAGGAGATGTAACCCCGCCCGCCAGCCCCGCCCCGCCCCACCCCCAGGCTGCCCGCCCGCCGTCCGCCCCGCCCTGTTTGTTTTATTTTATATAATTTCTCCACTTGTCATCGCCCCGCCCCTACACGCTGCCCAGTAACAAGATCACCTGTCTCATCCCACGTGTCTGAATTCTTAGCCCAAGGACTGGGGCCGTGGCGGGGTGGGGATGGGGCTCTGGCCTCTGGACAAGCTGGGCTATGGCCCCGGGGAGGGCCCGCTGACCCTCAGGCCTGCCTCTGAGTTCCAAGACGAGGCAGCCTCCTGAGTGGGGACCCCTTTACCCCCACAGTACTTCCTGCATAGGGCCATGCCCCCCTTAGCACCCCTGAAGCCTTGACCCCTGGGCATGTTGTGGGTGGGTACTCAGAAAGGATGGAGTCGGCTCTGCCCTGCCCTGTTTCCCCCCTTGGCCTGGGTGAGAACTTCCGACCCTGCTCTTGCCCCCATCCTACCCCCAGCCTGCCCTGGAGCTGAAAGTGCCTTTAACTCCCTGGCCGCATGAGCCAGTGGACGCCTCTGCCGAGGGTCTTGAGTCCCCTCCTGTTGGACACTGGGCCCAGCTGGAGAAAGGAGAGCTGTCCTGTCCCCTCCCACTGTCACCGACTAGGATGCAGCCAAGCGGTTGAGACTTAAAGAAAGAAAATAAGGTTAAATGCTTCTCCCCCAAACCACACCCCTTTCCCTGATTTTTGGAAGGTCCAGCAAGTGAACAAGGTGAAGGAGCCAAGGGGGGAACGGTGCAGGCACCAGGAAGGGGGGCGGTGCAGGGGGACAGCAAGCTGTGTGGGTCCTGGGCCTGCCGTGTGTATGTGTGTGTACATGTGTCTGTGTCTATTTGTCTGTGCAGTTTCTGATTAGACCCAAGAGGGAGTCCCTGGGTGGTGCTGGTGGTTAGACTCAGCTGCTAGTCGAAAGATTGGCAGCTCAAGTCCACCCGGCTGTGCATCAGAAGAAAGGCCTGGCGATCTGCATCCCAACCCCCGTGGAGGCCAGCCCGGCTCTGGCACGCTGGGGTCACCGGGAGCGGGAGTAGGCCTGACACAGCAACTGCTTTGGTTTCTGACCAAGGTCTCTAGTCAGTCCCTGAGGTACACACTGGCTCTCCTGGAGTTCAGAGAGGAGTGGGTGGGGCTGGGGCCCCATGTATAGCCCTCTGTCCAGTCCTCTGTCCTTGCTGGGGGGTTGAAGGGCACCGAGGCCAGGGACTGCCTCCTGTTTCTGAGGCCCTAGAGGGTGGGGGGCTGGCCTGGGCTGGTGAGATTGGGCACAGGTGGGGACCAGTTGTCTCTGCAGACCTCAAACCAATGCTCCCAGGCTGTGTGGAGATGAGGCGGAGACAGGCCTGGGATGCAGGGGTGGTGATGGTGGGGGTGGGGTGTGTGTGTGTGTGTGTGTGTGTGTGTGTGCCATCAGCATTCCGTTTTTCACTCCCACCCAGAGTGGTGGGGGCCCCAGACTCCAGGGAATGTTTACTTGCTGACTTGCCAAGTGTTTGCCAAAACTACCCCATTGGAAGGAAGTGCCCATGGCCAGGGCCCGGGCCTGGGCAGCCTGCCCCACAGGGGCCACTGGAACCCAGCGAGGGTGTCAGTTTCCCCTCCTAGCAATGGCTGCGGAGAGAAGGTCCATTTCGTCGCCGCCGCCTCCACCGTGGCCTTCTGCTCTGTGCCTCCTGAGAAACTTGTCTCTTTTTTGTATAAATAACAAAGTGTTGAAAATGTATTTCCTGAAATAAATGTTTCGAATGCAAACCCAGAAGGCTCAGCGTGGGGGGTTTTCCGTTCTCACCCCGGAGATGCAAATCCCACCCTCTCTTCGGTCTCAGGAACAGGCCTGAGCGGTGGTGGGTGGGTGAGCAAGAAGGGCAGATCAGGCAGGGCCGGGCTCTCTTGTGACTGAATTCGAGCCGCAGCCCTGTCTGTCTGTGGCAGGCTCAGCTGACACGGGATGAGGACCCCTGACCCATCACTCGACTTTAGGGGGTGGGCGATGGTGTATGCGTCTTCCCTGTGGTACGTGTGTCAGATGGGTGTGCATGTGCTATGGGGTCGTGTCCTGGAGAGCCCTCCTGTTTAGGGTTGGAGACATCTAGAGAGGCCTCCCAGGAGCAAAGGAAGCATGGTTACTGGAGGGACATCAAGAACCAGGAGAAGGGACAAAGGGGCAGAGGGGACAGGGCTGAGGGCGCAAGGGAAGAGAGTATATGAAATTAGCACTATGCCAGGATTCGGTCTACGGGCACCTTGATTGTCTTAAAAAAATGATTGGTGTAGAATCTACATCATGCTATCCAATAGTTCACTTATAAGTAGAGCTATACAGTCATCCCCACCCCCCAGCATGCTGGGGCCTTACAAAGAGGCTAAGTCAATCCGTGATTCTTCCTCACCCCGTTCAATTATCACGGTGCCATCCATATAATGGACCCGAGTGGCATTTTGTAGCAGGAAAAGGCAAGCAAGTAAACCGGTAAGAGACGGTAACTGGGTGAATGGCGGATGGGGGTGGAATGGGGAACTAACCCGACAACAATACAAGCATCTTCCACCTCAGGGTCATGTTTAGGGGTCCAGGGGTGTGGGGCATGTCAAGATATCACTACTAAAGTGAAGGAGAAGTCCTTGCCTCTGGCCCCTCCCACAACCAAAAGGCAGCCCAATACTCGATGGGTCTCTTTGGGTTTGGGAGGCGGGCGGCACATGCCGCATGTGGATGAGCTACGCTGGCCCGTGTCGTGACTGGAGACGCTGTCAGCTTGAGTGGGGCCCGGAACAAGAGAAGTCTCAGGAGCAGGTTCAGGCTGCCCCTGGGACTCTGATCCAGCTGACCCAAGGGTGCTAGAGGTGTCAGTCGCAGATAGAGATGCAGCGGGGAGTCTTGGGCAGGCCCTTATTGGCGAATCACAGCGCAGATCCCCCAGGATTTTGGAGGAAAGCCCTGCCATGCTCTGCAGACAATGACTCCTGAGAAGTAACATATGGCCTGTCACTGGGGCTGCGTGGAGACGGAATGTCTCCCCACGTCACCAGGAAGGCCTGAGCTGCCCGTCACGAACGGGGTGTTGTCTGATCCATCGTCAGAAGGTTGGGCGTGCCTATGAGACCGACCCAGAGCAGGAGCTGAAGGTACAGATAAGCTGCATGGAGAAGTGGCCCCAATGTCGATGGGCTCCACTCCCGTCACACAACCTGCCTTCTCCCAGTCTGCACCCACAGCCTCCTGAGGCGTTCCTTATCATCCATCGGCTGAGGAGCAGAAACCTTGAGCTTGGCTTCCTGGTGGCTCTGCGTGCTGTGGAGGCACTGCTCCTATGTGGACGGCAGCAGCACGGGGACCTCCCCGGAGGACAGTGGTGAGGGGGATCCTCCCAATGGGCAGAACTGCGAGCGGCACGCCTGACCTTTCCTTTTGTTTGGAAGGAGAAAGGGCCACGTGTACGACTGTATACTGACTCACGGGCTGCGGCCAACGGTTTCACAGGATGGCCAGGGCCTTGGCAGGCGTGTAGGTGGGAAACTGGGAAAGAGGTATGTGGACAGACCTCTCTGAATGGACCAAAAAAGGTGAATGTCTCGTTTGAGTGTTCACCAAAAGGTTACCTCTGTAGAGGAAGACCTTGACAATGGCAAGCGGCTAGGAGGACACCTGTGGAAACCAGTCATTATCCTCTTTCCCCAGCCTCTGGGTGTGCGAAAACAGTGACCGTGGTGGCAGGGGCTGGTGGGGGGTGGGGGTGGGGGGTAGGGGGGGTGGGCTTTGTGTGGGCTCAGAAACGTGTGACTTCCATTCATCAAGGCTGGCTTGGCTACTGCCACTGCTGGGTGCGTGCGCCATCTGCCAGCAGCCGCAGAGACTGACTCCTGGTCCAGGATAAGGGGCCATTCCTCCAGATCAATCAGCAGCCCAGTTAATCCGGGTGGACTAGAGAAACAAATCCATAGAGACACTCATATGTTTATAAGAAAGAGCTTTATATAAAGAGTAATTGGACATTAAGAAAATATCCCAGCCCAGTCCAGATCAAGTCCATAAGTCTGATAGTAGCCCATATGTCTGATACCAATCTATAAAGTCCTCTTCAGACTCACGAAGCACATGCAATGACACCGAATGCAGGAAGCTCGCAGGTCAGTGGGTGGGAAGTCTTGTGGATCCAGTGGTGGCAGAAGCATCTCAGCGCTGGCAGGGCTCTCCACGTGGTTCCTTTAACTCTAAAACTGTGACTGCCTTTGGGTTTCTTCTCAAAAAATGTCTCACAGGGAGTGAGCTGTGGGAGAAGCGTGTCTCCCACCTCCAAGGAGGAAGACAGGAGTTCCCAGAATCCTCAGGAGAAGGCCATGCCCACACAGAAGCCTCACTGACTATGATCTGATTGACAGGCTAGACTCCACCCCTTCACTCTTAATCCTCACATTGACACCAGATCATGTAACTACCACACTAGTGTAGTTGGATGACACAGGACCACACCCTTCCTGGAAAGGGCAGTATTTTATTTTGTTTTCTTAATTCACTCAAAGTGTATAATATAAAAATTTTACTGGTGCATAGTTGGAAAGCTGCCCCTTTTTAAAAAAGCATCAACTTAAACATTCTGACTATTAATATGGTGGGAAGATTCATGAGAAAACAGTAAAGAGTGTCAAGCACACAGTAGAAGTGAAATGGCTCAAGCTTCCTTTTCATGACACATTTGCTTACATGTTTGCTGCTTTTAAGTAAAATTAAACCTGACATGTTAAGTTACTTTCAGCCGTATTTCCATTAATTGAATTACAACAGTGTTAATTCCCTGTCTATTCCTCTAGGCTTATCTTCCAGAATCTAAACCATTAATAATCTTGTCAATGTGTATAGATGATGGAGCACATATTTATTATTAAAACTTTAGCTACTCAAATTAAGTAGCACACTGTAAAGAAAACAAACAGTATTTCTCTATTCAAATAACCCAGAATCAGAGAACTTCTGGCTATGTAACATTTTGTAACCATAAATCAATCTTCTTCCAAACTATTCATGTATATATAAATAAGCAATTATAGAAAAATTTAATGCCTTTGAAAAATTAATTTTCTCACAAATAAGCTTTAGAAGCACCCACACACCCACACCTACAAATCCATTTTAAAAATTACACCATGCCTGCAAATCTTAAACCATTGTCTGGCCTAAGCTTCTAGAAGAGAATTTATTACTTTCCATTATACTCATAGCTTAATGCAAGACGAAGAAGGTGCTACAATAATCTGGCTTTTGAGAAATTTAGGCTTTATAGAGCCCTAGAACATTCATAGCTAGATTTTATAAAAACACAACAATGGACACAAAAGCAGCTGAAGCAGACCCAGCACTCTGACCATCACGGGACCAGAAGTAAGGAGAGGTGCCCTGCTCTAAGCTCCTCAATGTCCTATGACAAAAAGCAACCACAGACACTTGGTAAGCATCTTTAAATACCAATTGACCAATGGAAAAGTTCTTTTTAATGCATCCCTTACATTTTGGACTTCAATCATTCATATTTTCCTTTGTAAGATGATTCAGAAGAAACAATTCTATTTAAACGTAGTCAGTTTTTCCATCCACACATGAAAAGAAATTAAAATCACAATTCCAAAGAATTTCTTATTAATCATACCAATATTATATACTTAAACTACAATTAAGAAGTTGGAAGCTTTCTCATTCTAGCCATAATGACCTGTTACTAACATGTCGGGGCTGCTTTCTGTAGCTTTTCAGTGTAAGATTCTAACACTCGCGATTTCGAAAAATGCATCTCAACTCCACGGCGAACTGCCATCCGTGCTTATTGCATGTGGTTCTGCCAGTGGTCCCTGTAGCCAGCATCCTTTCAACGATGACAAGCTCGTGGGGTTGCCAAGTCCCTCACAGAAGGCCAGTAAAGCCTGTGTAGCATGCCCCTTCCTCTGAGTCAGCCCAGCATTTCCCTCGACCTCTCAGAAGAGCTGATTCTTGTAGCTCTTCTTCTACTGTGGGTGCAAAGGTGATGGGGGCTACCAAAGGAGCAGTCCATGGAGAACAAATAAACTCTTACTGGGGTAAACATTTCCTCTGCATATGGATTTACCTTCCCTGCATGCACCGCTCCTGCTAAAACTACCAGTATTGGACTTACAGAATGGCTGATCCACCTCCTGGTGTCCTGCAAGGGACTCAGGGTACAGCCAATGAAGTGCAGCAGTGAGCCCACGCTCACGGAGGCCGCTCATCCTACCATGTGTCTGTCATCCGGAAGCAGGCGGCCTGAGAGGACGATGGAATGGCCTTCTAAAGCTACCATTACGGTGCCCTCTGGGATTGGGGCAATGTTCTCCAGGAGCACAGCCTTATAGACGCTCTACTCCAACGGCCAGTAGCCGGTGCTGTTTCTCCAACTGCCAGGATTCTCGGGTCCGGAACCAAGAGGTGGAAGTAGGGAATGGTGCCACGATTGCTTCTAGAGACTTACTTACTCAGCCAATTTTTTTTTGAAAAGGAAAGATTTTTCCAATTTCGTTTTGTAAAGAGCATACACAGGAGCACATAGTTTCTACATGTACAAATTAGTGGTACCGATGACATTCTTTGCACCCTCTCTCACTAACAAGCTCATCACCCCATACAGTCTCTATCTCACCTTGCAAATATAGGTTGTAAATTTGATCTCACTGTCAACATTTCTGCTTCCTATCACCGGGACCTTATGCGCATCACGTCTGGAGATCTTAATTTCAAAGGAAGAAATATTT